TATCACTCTGAACAATTTTGATTGTTTGATTAAATTGCCTATCAACCATAGCAACAAAGGCCATAAACATCTTAAATACTTCCGTCTTATCAATCAACAAATAAATCCAAACTGCCCGGGAAAAGTCATCAACAATAGTTAAAAGATAACGAGCTCTACATGACGAAACATTGTCTATAAGGACCCCACAAATCACAATGTATTTTCTCGAAAATTCTAGGTGATCTATTCTAACTCAAAGGAAACTTGTCTTTGGGATGTTGAGCACGAACACACCTCACATCCCTTAGCTAGGCTACCTTTATTATTGCAAATATGAGGAAGTAGCTTTACCACTCTTTTCGAATGATAACCCATTCTTCTATGCCATAGCTCCAAATTTGATGTTGCTTCGATCACAAACACACGTTGCACCTCATCCGGTTTGCTAAAGTAATAAAGTTCGTCTCGTCGAAGCCCCGTTCCAATCAACTCTTTCATTTGGTCCTGTATAGCACACATATATGAATTAAATTGAACAACAACTTTTAATTGATCACTAAGTTGTGAAACGAAAATTAAATTGCAAGTCAAATGTGGCACAAAAAGAACTCCATTGATGGTGATTTTATCTGACAAATGGACCGATCCTTCGAAAGTAGCAAGTACACTCTCGCCATTCGGTAACCCAAATGGACATTCAATGTTGTGGGTATCAAATAACCAAGATTTATTGCCGGTAACATAATGAGTAGCTCCGGTATCTATAATTCAACAAGTATCATCAAATTGACGATATAGATGATTTTCGGGAAGTTTTGCATTACCCATAATTAAGGTGAAGAGGACGGAGGTGGTGTCTCACCGCTGGCCATGGTTGTTTATTTTGAAGAAAAAAATTTAACATACCATAAAAAATTCTTATAATCACGGCCTCCCTTTCTCATTAACTTGCAAAGGAATATATAGTGTTACAAAATTCCTAACCCTAGAATTAACAATATTCTAGGAAGATAGAATTTGACTAAAATACAAGATAATATATCCTAACAAATATTTCATAAGATAATATAATTCCCAAAAATATATTATACAATATTATCTCATTACATCCAAATGAAAGTTGCTGGTTTCCTTTTCACCTCCTGTCCTTATGATTTGATATTACCTTCGTAACTTGTTTCCAACATTTCAAGTACGAGTATGACTTGAACATAAACCTTTCTGTTCACTACTTTTAATTAGAAGTTGAGAGGCAGACTGAGTTGCTAATCGAGGAGTGACTCAAGATGATAAGCTCACAATCTTGCATGATGGAGTCCCTTTATTTAGAACTAAGCACAGTAGAGCTAATAGGTTGATCATGAAATTAGGGAAAGAAGGAAGGAGTGGGAACTAGTACGTAGGTTGTGTTTTGTCTTTGTCATCACTGCCACCAGACATGGTGGCCTGGTGGCATGTGATTGTGTGAGAGGGAGGGCCAATGAGCGTTTGCTGGTCTACCTAGAGCAATAGAGCTAAGTACACCTGAGTGTGTAATAGAAACTCTCAAATATTCTAAAATGTTTCAAAAAATACAAAGTTCTCAGGATATGAAATAATTTAACAGTAATTGATGTTCTTATAATATTGGTTTTTTTTCCACAGAGGGCGTTATTCTTAATAGTAATCATGAATATTGTTTCAAGAAATGATCTTATAAAGAAATAATCAAACTATTCTATTAGAAGCAGCATTTTTCTTGTTGTTGGCTAATCTTTTTTAATATGAATCTTTAATAGCTAAGAATTTGCTTAGTATTTTAGCAAGATTGCCATGATGAACAGAGGTTTTCCTTCAGAAACAACGCGTGCTGATTGTTTTACTCAGAAAGAGTTAAAAACATTTAACTTCACTCAATTCTATTCTGTTACTAGTCTTACAACATAGCTAGTATTTAATCTGGAACTGGTAAAGGCAATACATTGTACGATTGATTGCCTTGATTTTTTTTCTTTTCTTTTTTGAATGTTCCAAATTTAACTTAGACACAAGCCCTTACGAATTGACCATTCGACAATTCTTTGTGATCTCCTGTCCTCCAGTGATGCTGCTCATTTTAATCATAGACTTGATGAATGCTTCATAGAAAGCTTCCTTGGAACTAGCATATTTGTAGACCAAGTGTTTAGTACTTGGAGCTGTGAACAAAGCTTGGTCTGAAGAAAACAGGCTCTTTCCTTGGAGAATTAGCTTGTAGTATGTATTGTCAAACATTGTTGGAGAAGGATCTAGGTTTGAACCCGCTTTCTTCACTTTGTTGTGTGCTGGACATACTTTCTCTAGGCTTGCAGCAAATGAAGGATTGATGGAAGGATCAATGTCATGAGTTGCATCGAACTTGTGCAATCGGTTTTGGAATGATGAGCAGTGGGAGAATCCTAGACTGTGTCCACCTGCATTAAAGAACCACAGTTAATATTTTGTTCTGTCTTTCTGATCTGTCACAGATAAAATAGTCCCTGCTTTTATCAAAGTATCTTTTAGGAAAAAAAAAAAAAAAACAATTTCAGGTTAAGTTTAGAAAAGTTCAGATCAATTTAAAACTTCGGGTGGTGATATATAATGTGTTCCTTGTTGTTGCCTTTGTTCTTCTTTACCTGAAAGTGCTACCAAATCTCCGAGGTTAAGGCCTCTCTGTGCAAAACTTTGTTGAAGTTGAGATAGGTTAAAGGTGGGTGCTGGAAGTTGTATTGTTTCACTAGCAAGCGATTTTCTTCCATCCTTCCTTCCTTTAGGCACATCCCAAGTAGGTCCACCAGCCTTTATGAGAAAAACAATCAATTAATACATGTATAAAAGATGATCATTATTATAAAGTTTAAGTTGAGTGATAGGAATTTTTATAATGGGAATTTTACATTGTCTACAACTTTTGCATGCATATACTAAATAGTTTCCTAGATAAACATACTTATAGAAACACTGCTGCTTACGAATTAATTTTTTATGATCATGTGAAAACATTCTCATATATAATGCCTTTCTTGTGTGATTGTTACAGAAAGATTATTGTTTACTTACAACGACTACTGCATCCCTTGCAGCGAGAGCCAATATGTCAGCACACGAGACAATTCCGGGGCAAGCAGCTTCCACCGCCTTCTTTGCATTGTCAATAACAAAAAATGCATGCAGTGAAAGATTTGGAGGTCCAGATTTCTCTACTTTGTTGCTCCCATATTTGTCTAGCAGCACTGAAGCATCACATCCCTGCAAACAAATTTAAACTCTATTGAACATTTGAACATATCTAAAAATTATGAAATGTACAAAAAAATGAAATTTATTCTGGCAATGCAAACTGATTTAATAAATACCCTAATAAAACAGTCATGGAAATGCAAGCGAAGCAGAGCAGCCGGGACTGTTTTATCTTTCTGAAACTCTTCTTTGACTGCATTGGAGATGATATACTCGACATCAGGACACGTCTTAGCATAGTGATTTATGCTTAATGCATCTCCTAGGGAAAATGCAGAGAAGATTAGTAGCAAACTGAAGATTGCAGCAGAAATAGCCATGTTTATGTTTATGATTATGAATATTATTGCCGTTTTCTCTGCTGTTTTTTGTTGATGAAGTTGAAGTGGATATCGAAGGTATATATAGCCATATCTAGTGTGATAGCAGTAAAAGGAGATTGATAGAGAATGACAGAGTAACAGAGTTGGTTATTAAAAGGTTAAGGATGTTGTTGGTTGACAACAGTAAATTAGTTCAGCCTAATAGGTGTTGATGTTTATTGTTGAAGCATCCTCTTTAGATACAAAAAATTTATAGGAATTCTAATACTTTTTTGGTGTTTACTTGTAAATGAGAAACAAGGAAAAGATAGAAAATCAGATATTATTAACTATGTTTATGCTTATGAATATTGTTGATTTGCAGTCTTTATTAGTGTAGAATATGAGTACTCCAACAAATATTCCCTTTGTGTCTTGAATTCTTGATAATATTTGTACTGGTATTTGGCTTTGAAGTCATCAAATTATGACCCTAAATTTGTCAAAAAAAAAAAAAAAAAAATTAATTTTGAAATTACTTTTGTCATTTTTAAAAAATCAAATATATCTACAATATGGGTTTGGTGCAATCTGTACAACATATTGAAACTATTTGTTGCTCAAGTTTAGTTGTTGTTACTCTTAATAGGGATATGAAGTAACCACTTTAAATTTTAAGGGGTTACCTTTTTATTACCAATTGGTTTGTCATAAATCATTTCTTACAAAGAAAGCGGAAATTAATGTCGTTTATAAATGCTTACTCCGTATTTTATTAGGGTAATTGCCCAGGTGACCTTAGCTTGAAGTTTAACGAAGTACATATTGTACTTCATTTGATCATGTGCAAGTAACAACTTAAGTAAACCGAGAATAAAAAATTACTATCCATAGAAATGCTAAGTGATGTGAAAACATGTTTGAGAATTCTTATCACCTTTTATCATTTACAATTCTTTATTATTGAAATTTTTTTCCTCATAACCTTTTATCATTTACACTTCTTTATTATTGAAATTTTGTTTCTTTGTCAAAAACATGTACTATAATAATAAAAAGACGGGATAAGAATGGAAAAATATAATGAGTAGGACTTAGGAGCTAAGAAGACAATTAAGTGTTTTTTTAATAAGCGGAATTGTTAACTTTATATGGAGGGGATTTTTTTTTTTAATAATTTAAAATAATTCCTTCATAAAAACTACGATCATAGAGTAATTTTTACATTGTGAAACATCTCCCACTTATATCGCTAAAAAATGCAACCTTTTGGAGAGGAAATTAAATAAATTCATTTTTATATATTTCCATAATTCCATAAGTAGGAAAAAAAAAAAACCAATACGAGTACTATTTTCTATTTTTTCGATTATAATTTTACGAATACCAAAAATATATACGTATTAAAATAATTAAAATAATACGGAGTACTGGTAGAAATAATAATACCAGTAGAAAATTAGCAAAGCCGCTCACAAGTCACAAGTCACAACACAAAACCGTTGCCCCTTATTCTAGGGTTTAAGCAACAGAGTAAAACCCTAATTCCAAATTCCCTATCCTCCAACTTCAATTTCTACCTCAAATCAAACTCCATTGCACAAATTCATCTTCTAGAATGGGATCGAAGAAGAAGAAATCGAATAACTCCGGTGCCGGAGATTCCGCCGGCGGTAGCGAAAATGGCAAGAAGAAGGAGATTCAGATGATTGAAGATCCTCGATTTTCAATGATTCATACTGATCCCAGATTCCAGAGGGTTCCGAAGAAAACGGATAAGATTGCAATTGATTCTCGGTTCAGTCAAATCTTCACTGACAAGCTTTTTGCGGGATCTTCTGCCAAGGTTGATAAGCGAGGGAAACCTAAAAAGCAGTCGGAAAATGGTTTAAGTCGATTTTATCACTTGGAGGAAGATGAAGAAGAAAAGGATGAAGTTAAGAAGAAGAAGAAGAGTGTTGTGAAGAAGGTGGAGGATGAAAGTGAAGAAAATAGCAGTGATTCGTTGGCTTCGGAGTCGAGTGGCGAATCGTCTGAGTCGGAATTGGAGGGTGATTCTGAGAGTGATGATGATAGTTTGACGAGTGATAGTGATGATGATGAGGCGGGTGGTGTGGATGTGTCGGAAGATGATGAGTCTGTTGAGGTGAATTTTTTGTTATGAATTGTTGTTTTTGGAATAAATTTGATTTCTTTATTGTTGAATGTTTCGAATTTCGGCTTATATGTTTATGGAACAGGTGGAGAATGTGCCTGTAATTGACAGTGAAACGCATAGGCTGGCAGTTGTTAATATGGATTGGAATCAAGTGAAGGTATTGCTTTGAGCTTTTTTCGAGTTTTGAAGCTAGTTTGAGTGGTCATTTGAAGCTATCTCTTGGTTTGAATTCTGCTTACTCGAAATCAAATATGGTGTATTCGTTGTAGTATTGAATTCGAATATATTCATATTGAAATGCAAATAGAATTATGAATATATTGTGTGTAATGTTGTCCATGATTAACGGTTCATGATCTATTGTCATTTAAATTCTTTTGGATTGATTAACTTACAAGAAGAACTTGCTGTATCATAGATGGGAATACTTTTAGGAGTTTCTTACTTTAATGTTATGTTATCTTTAGGCTTTACTTAATTGCACTATTTTACATTTCTCAATGTTATGGATCCTGTAGGCTGTTGACATATTTATGATGTTGAGATCATTCCTGCCTAAAGAAGGACAAATTAAGTCCGTAACAGTCTATCCTTCAGAATTTGGACTCAAGCGTATGGAAGAGGAAGCAGTTCGTGGTCCAGTTGCCTTGTTAGGGGATGAGAAGAAGAAGTATGATGAGGGTACGGAAGATGAAGACGAAGATGAAGATGAAGATGAAAACAAAGATGACGATGACGATGACGATGATGATGAGATAGATACTGAAAAGCTGCGTGCTTATGAAAAAAGTAGGCTAAGGTGATTTTTCATTACATTATGAGGGTTTTCTTGCTGAGATTTTATATTTAGATGTTTGATAGCTTCAAGAGAAATTGTTTTATACTTTCACGATCCACATATTTGCATAACATTAAAACACTAAGGTTAAATTCATGAAACTGCTGCAACAATTGTCTATCTTGTGGCCTATGGTAATTAGACAAGGGTGTGACTTTCAGTGTGTGGATACATATTTAGGTATCTGACATTCCAAGGCTAGAGATTTCAAACATGGTGAGACTTTCTTATAATTGTACACAGGTTTGGGGACATAATATATATTAAATTGAATGTATTCATGTTTTTAGGAGACTTTTTGCATGAATTTGAACGTAGACATACATATACACACATTTTAGGTTGACTTGATTGTTAATTCTTTTTAAAATGCTTATTTGGAGCCTATTTTTGGGCACTTTTTCTTCTTATCCATCCTTCTTTTTCTACATTTTCTTCTACTGTTATGTGGTTCATATTGAATGAAGTGTCCAAGCTTCATTGAAGTGTTAGCAGTTTAGCACAGCTACATGCTTGCAGAATTTTGGGGCAAGGATCCCATTCTCTTCTTGGTCTGTTGAGTGTTACAGAAGACTAAATGAAGAGTCAGTAGCATAGCTCATGGATATAATTTGTGAGCAAGCTTAAAAAACACGAAAGCTAATAGTTCCAAAAAAGATGACAGGCGTCATAGAATTCATAGAAGCTGGCTATGTTGTCCCCGTCACATGTTATAATTAGGTAGTCAGGTGAAGGGAAGCTTATAGTGGTCATATACTGTTTGTATCCCCTGTGGGAGATTGCTGATTCTGATTTTCTTTGCTACATGTCCTTCCTTATTTTCTCTCTGGGGCTCACTCCAGATCTCTTGTTTGTTTTATAAAGGCATATAGCTGTACTCAAGTGCTTTTAAATTGTTTGAGATATATGAACTCAAAGCTTCATTTTTCCCCCCGTACTCAAAGTGTGTTATGTCTATATTGTTCCTTGCTCTTCCAGGTACTACTTTGCCGTAGTGGAATGTGACTCTATTGCTACTGCAGATTACATCTACAAAGCTTGTGATGGGGTTGAGTTCGAAAGATCATCTAATGTGCTGGACCTGAGATTCATACCCGATTCTATGGAATTTCCTCATCCACCGCGGGATGTTGCAAAGGAGGTAATTTGATATAATTATTAATTGTGATGTTTGTCCACAGTGAAAGAAATCATTGCTTGTATAGCAATTTTAGGAAAACAGTTAATTATTTGTGGCTTTGTTAAGTTTTCTGATATCATGAATCCATGATTCATGAGTAGTTCACTCCCAATAGTAATACTGTGGTTGTATTGTAGATTGATCTTTAGGTTATGTTTTGATTATTTAACGGCAATTTTATCACATCTTTCCTTTTGCTTTTATTCTTGATATCAGGCACCAGCTAATTATGAGGGTTTAGACTTTCAAACTCGGGCTTTGCAGCAAAGCAATGTAACCCTTTCTTGGGATGATGATGAACCGCATCGTGTGAAGACACTGAGGCGAAAGTTCAATGATAACCAGGTTAATAATACACCCTGTCACAAGCATACATCCATTTTTCTTCTGCCTGATATATATTTTTAGTAAGTATATCTGCAGTATTCAATCCCTTTGGCTGGGGAATATAAACATTCTTCTAAATGCGTTTTTTGCTTAATTTTGAGTAAGGCCAGCTACTATCCCTTATATGAGGCAACTTATACATTTGTGTTTGGCGTGGGTAGCAATTTTTTTGATTTAATGTTTCTGATTGTGAGAATTATCTTTTATACATTTGTGTTTTATCTTAGATCTGTGAGCAGCTTTTTTGATTTAATATTTCTGATTGAAAAAAGGAAAATAGTCAAATATATGGGTGATGTGTGGATAGCGTTCATCAGTTTAAATTATTCACTCGTAAGGAGATTATATATCAAATTATTTTCATAATATTTTACTTGAAAGTGACACCTTACCACATCGTAGAGTCACTTTATTGCTAGGATGATTATTTGGTGCAGGATCAATTTCTTAAAAAAAGTAGTATGTTTCCACTTTTCATTTTGACAATACTTAAAAGATAAATGTTCGATGGTTTCCTTCAAAATGTTGACATTTTAGAATTCAACATAACTCATGGTTTTGTTGTTGTAGCTTGCTGAATTGGAATTGAAAGAATTTTTGGCTTCTGATGAGAGTGAGAGTGATAGTGATGAGGATGTGGATGAGGACGTGAGTGAGGATGATGCAGATTTATCTGATAAAGTAATTAAAAAAGCCAGGAAAACGAAGATGAAGGCAAAGATGGCCAAAAAGGATATGTACCGTGCCTTGGTCCAGTCTGGAAATGGTTCAGAGGATGATGAAGATGAAGGCCAAGATATGGAGGTTACTTTCAACACTGGTCTAGAAGATCTTAGTAAGAAAATTCTTGAAAAGAAGGATAAAGGTTCAGAAAGTGTTTGGGAAGCATATCTGAGAAAAAAGAAAGAGAAAAAGAAAGCTAGGAAATACAGCTCGAAGAATTCCTCTGATGATGACAGTGATGAGAGTGATCAAGAGCCTCTCGAACAGACAGAGGATTTTTTTGTGGAAGATCCTTCAACTGTTAAAAGCAAGAAGGTTAAGCATGGTAAGAAAAATAGGGAAGAGAAGAGACCTTTGGAAGATGAAGAGACTGCAGCGACTACAGCAGAGCTGGAGCTATTGCTTGCAGATGAGAAGGGAACAGATAATAATCTGAAGGGTTACAAAATTAAACCTAAAAAGGGTAAGGGAAAGAAGGGTAATGAGACTCCTGATGAAGACAACTTACCAGCAGTTGACTATGATGACCCACGCTTTTCAGCACTCTTCACTAATCCTGCATTTTCTTTGGATCCCACGGACCCTCAATTCAAGAGGTAATCTCTGTTTACTTTTTATAGGATATAATTTGATTAAACCAAATATTTTTCTGGATCCATTGCTTGGAAGATCCAAGAAATTTGTTACTATATTGTCTCTGAAATGTGTGACATTGAATTCTTGCAGGAGTGCAACTTATTTTCGGCAATTAGCTCAACGGCAGCACAATGACCGAGAAGAGGATACAGCAATAGCGCCAGTGGAACTGTCAAGACCAAGTTCAAATGGCTCCAGTAGGAAAGAAGATGATAATTCTGAAGGTGCTTCCCGTAAAGAGAAGTTTGAGTTATCCTCGATGGTTAAATCTATCAAGATGAAATCTCAGCAGCTTCCTAAGCCATCTAGTGATAAATTGAAAAAGGGTAAGACGGAACATGGATCAACCATTAAGGAAAAGAAGCATAAGCTAGAAGGATTGGATCACAAAATGAAGAAAAAGGCCAGATTGTAGAATAGAATGAACTCACTTCACCAATACAAAATTTTGAAAATTTATTTATTTATTTGAATTACAGACTTATTCTACTTTATTTATCTTTTCAATTTTTTTTTTTTTTTTTTTTTTTTTTTTTCCAAAGAGTAGGATTTGTAGCCTGTTGACAATGCTGTTCTTGATGTTCTTATATACTGCCATTTTAATTGTAGAAACTTGGAGATATGTCGAGGATTGAAAACCACAGCTTATCATACATACTTGGAACATGAAATGGAGTACTGCAATCATATTAACTACGTATTTGATGATCCTTTCATACCTTTTTCAATTCATCATTCCCTTCTTAGGTGTTGCGTATCTTCAAATAAATATGAACGACCGTAAGGGTAAATCCTTTTTTTCGAAGTTAATCCAAAATATTTCTGTCTTCTCCGAAAGAAACCACAAAAAAAGAAGCTGATAGTATCACATTTTTGCAAAATCTCCAATCTATTTACTGCTGTATTGTATGAAAAAATCAGTATATGGTAGTGAGCCATATTTACAAGTAAAGTGTTGAGTTACACAAACTGACGATCATAATCTATATCCATAACCAAGTAGCCTGCTAACAATGTACTCTAGAATATTGAAACGTGTATTTGGATGAACTGCTTCGGTCCAAAGAATTATCTGTTAAACAGATAGAATCAGGATCAAAATTGTGCAGATAAAGAAGTAGCTGTGTGCTAAAGCTGATGGTGCGCCTGAGCTGTTTGGTGGTGGTGTGCCTAATACGGTTGGTTGAAAAAAGGGAGGTCTTGGACTGACAGGTACAACTTCACCACCTGATGCAGCATGAAGTAGTTGGTTAACCATGAGGAAACTTCATGGAGGAGCGAGAAAGATGGAAGGTAGAGAGCTACTAAACCGAGCTACTTATCACAGATTTGCAGCCAAAAAAAAAAAGAAAAGAAAAGAAAAAAATGGTACTTACAGTCATGTTCCTTCCATCCAAATACCATTCTCTCGTGATCAAAAACAATGCGATAGCCAGTCAAGAAGTTCTCTGTAAAAGAACCACCAAATATTATTAGTATATACTATATATCACTATTCTTTTCTCATATTCTAAAGCAATCAATACTCACCTCCAATTATATTTATGTCATGTTCGCCACTTTCAGATTTGAAAACAGCTAAACAGTATACATATCGACCATCCTTGAAGATCAACAGCAAACAGTTAAATTTCATAATGTGAAGAGGCCTGATAAAAGTCATCCAATTTTGTCACCAATTTACCTCAGTATTAAAAAGAATAGTTGGATCAATCACGGTGAATATGTCTCCACTTCCCATTGTCAGATTAATACTGGGAATAGTCAAGTCGTCGATGATTGAACTGCAACATTAAGGTAAATTTCAGTGCATGAAATATTACAAGTTTTTTTCAAATTCTTTTGTCAGATAAACTGAACCTACCTTGTTACATAGCAGAATTCAAAAGGATTCTCTGGATCAGCTGCCAACTTTTGATCATTAATCTGTGAATCGAACTGCACACAGATTGTAACCATTAAACTCCATCCTCATTTCAAAAATCAATAAGAAAATAAGATAACTCAAATAACTTGCCTTTTCAGAGATAAGACTATAAGCTGGATCAGTCAAGTGAGTAAATGAAGTGCCAGTATCTATGATCACAGTTAAGTTTGTAGCAGAGACGTTTTTTCCCATACTAATTTGAGTAATGCTGACATTATATAAACTGTTGAAAAAAGACAGTATTATCTGAGTTAAATCTCCCAACACCTTTTTAAGCCAGAAATCATACTGAAAGACTATGAATGACTTACTTCAATGGATCATCAGTGCTGAGTGGTGTTTCGCCTTGTTCATTGCTGTCTCTATCTCCGAATATTATTTTACCAATGCCATCTCCAGTGAAACACATGGAATAAGAATTTGATGTAAGGTTTTGACTTGCTAAGACGCTTGGTAGTGATATGGGATCCATAGTAAGTCCAAGCAGGCCGTTTGGAGCTCCATTACTCAAGAAAGAACCAGTCTGACGGACACCACAGCTGCAAGCCACAAGCACACTTTGATCATGATCAACTAATTGGCTACTAAAACAGTTCATTTTTTTGGGCTGAAAGCAAAATAATGCAATTTCCATTTTTCCAATGTGGTAGTTAAATGCTGAAACATCAGTAAAGAGGTTTTTTTGCAATTAATGCACAGTTTGAATGTTGGAAAGCTCCCAACAGCTAGTTTTTCCAAGCACATTTCTCACAGGTTCTGCCTTTCAAATACCATTTCATCTCTGAGCTAGCATTGCAGTTGGTTTTTTCCAACTTAATGTAAAAATTCTTTGCTGTCAAGAGGGCTAAAAGAAGTGAAGGGTTACCCGAAAGGAATCTTAGCATTGATGCGTGCTGAAGAATTAGAGTTCATTGAAAGATGCAATATATCCTCTACCATGTAACCAGAAGATGAAGTGTTTGCTTGTAGATAATGAACTCCGTAGGGGCACCGGCCTTCTGATGAAACACAGCTTAGGCTGTTCTGACAGAGAGGGCTAGTGCATGGAAGTTGGGTTCCTGTCGATGAAGTATGTAAGCTGTATATGTTGAAGTCTAAAACCTGAAGTCCAAAATAAGGAGGAAAAAAAAAAAGCAGGGCAATGGTTAGAGTAGAATACACAGAAAAGACTTAAAAGGCAATGCATTTACGAATCTGTCAAATACAAGTACAAATTTAGGCACCCGGTTAAAGCTTGTTACTTATCTTGTTGTGAAAATCAACATATACTAAAGATTGGCACAAGATCGTTGACGAAAAGAAGGGTTTATCATCTACTTGTGATAGAAATGCTTTTAGAATTGGTACACATTTACATGCCAGAACACACAAAAATCAGAATTTGACAGCATAAGGAATGGGAATTAGCACTAGCTTACCGCATCAGAACTGAATTTCAATTGCGTTACACAATTAGGCACGCAGTCACACGGTAGCCAGAAAATATGACTGCCTGTATCAAGAGCCACTAGAAACCATGATTCTGGTGTCCCTACGGACACATTCGCGTAATATAAACTGTAATAGGACAGGAAAAAAAAAAAATGATGTAAGGCAGAAATAAAATAGATGAATAGCCTATGTCAGATAAACTCAAGATTACTGCTACTTCAGCACCATAAAGTCCATTGACTTTATATTACTTTTGTCAAAAACAAACTCAATACAGAAAAAAAATAGATTAGAGAGCATACAATCCAAGTTCAGTGATATGGAAAGTGGTGTTCCCAGAAGCAAAGGTGAGGGTGCTGTCATTAGTCTTTTCTCCTGCTAATCTGCGGCCATGGAAAACACGATCACGATGAGCCATTGCAGCGTAGTAATCAATCGTTCCCTTCTCTGGAAACCCGTAATCGTTGTTGAAAATTGCCTTAACAGGATCAGAAAATCTATGAAGGATATTAAATCCAAATGCCTCAGATCCATAACAGCTTTGACATGTCAGACTTAACATCAGAAACAGCACCAGTAATCCATAAGTTGACTTGCACCCCATCTTACAATTCATGAATATCATAACTTTTTTTTAGGAGATGACCAAAATTGTATGAAATTCAGACATTTTGGTGGAAGTTTTGCACCCCATTTAATATTGAGCTAACCAATTGGTGATCAAGCAATTTAAAAAATTGTTGGTGATGAGTTTTAATATAATGAAGAAGGATTCTTTGTAAGCAAGCTGTAGAATAATTCAAAGTCAATGTTTGAGGATATTCAAAATGTTACTTTTGGCACCTTCTTCTCTTTTTCTCTCCATGAAATGATTTCTATTTCTACGGCTTAATTTTCATTACTCAGACTTATTTTAAAGTAGTAAAAATGAAATTTGTATGTTAATGAGGGAGTTAATTACACTTTCAAAAACTAATCTTTTGTAAGAGGATATGTGAAACAATATGGTTAATAGATTACCTCGCATAAAAACAAAAGTTGATAGATTAGTAACTTCTTCCATTTTATAAAGTAGTGCCGTACTAATAAGGAGTATTTTATCAATCAAATACTTCTAATTTTGTTTTGATTATCTATTAGTATTAACTTATTTCAAATATAACATATGTAATACAAAAATACTCAGATTTGTTATAGCTTAATATCGAACATTCGGCGTGGTGAGCATGAACTTCACACTAATGTTACATGGACTCTCCATTTTACCTCAATTATTCATGTTGGACCCTCGACATTCGGATGTGGGTATGACACTTGGACACTTCACTATTAGTTTAAAATCAAGGAATTTTTTCACAAAATAGCCAAATCGGACGCTTAAACACATACCCGTATCGGACATGGGTACTTGAATCCATATAACATTGCTTCACACGTTACATATAAAGAAAAGACAACCGCGAACCGTATACTCTTCAAACATGTACGGACAACCTGTAAAACCAAAAAACTGTTTTTTTTTTTATTAGATAAAAAAAAAAGTCAAATACGAGTTGAAAAGTCAGAGGAGAGTGAATACGTAATTCAAATTTTCTAACAAGAAAATAAAAGACAAATGACAACGAAAGTCCAACTACTGATGATTGAGACTTTGTGTCCAACATTTAAAGATATTCTCCCTTTGATGAGCTTAGAAAATCATTGTCCGAATAAATGTCACAATTCTTTTTTTTGTTTATCATCTTTTTAATCCCTTTATTACAAACTTAAAGTGGTTAATTTCGAGTTTTTTGATAAAAAGTTTCTTTCATCATTTTCTACAAAAAGCATTTGTTGATTTTATTCATCTATTACGTAGAAAGAAAGGATTTCCTAAATAAGTAGTCACATACTCACATAAAATATTCTCGGTAAAAGCTGTCATATAACACAATTTTTTATATGTGGCTGGTCATACCGTGTGCCAAAGGATACTTGAAGGGGTTACTCATTTGGTCAGGGGTTACTTATTCAGAGGTTATTCGTTTGGTCAGGGATTACTTATTCAGAGGTTATTCGTTTGGTCAGGGGTTACTTATTCAGGGGTTATTCGTTTGGTCAGGGGTTACTTATTCAAGGGTTACTCGTTTGGTCAGAGGTAAATTATAGGGGTTACTTATTCAAGGGTTACTAGGTCAGTCAGGGGTTACTCTCACACAGAAAACGCGCTAACTAATTGAGTAAGTAACCAATACAAGTAAACCCTGAATAAGTAACCCCCTACAAGTAACCCCTGAGTAAGTAACCCCTACAAGTAACTCCTGAATAAGTAACCCATACAAGTACCTCTGCCACACAGTGAGGCCAGCCACACTGAAAAGTTGTTGATCATATAAACAATGTGACAACTAATCCGACGTGGAATCTCTATCAGTAAGACAGTAACCATATCATTAGAACGAACAGTGAGAGACAGAATGTAACTGGTAATAAGACTAATAACTAATAACACGCGAAGAGATTGAGTGACAGAATCTGATACTATAGGTGTGCAAATAGCACATTATATAATATACAATGCAATTTCTGTAGCTAAATTATACGAAGTATATACATTATACAATACCAGGCTCAAAAAATGGCCTCGAGGAAAAATAATTCAGGGGCTAAACAAAACTGGAACTACAGCTAGAAATGGGCGACGGGCTGGCTGGAATATGTCATGATCTATGCCTTCCAAATGTAATGCATAAACCAATCAATAATAATCTAAGACTATCAGGCACTCCCGTGGGAAACTAATTTACCAAAGAATTGATAAAACTAGAAGCAAAGACAGTATGAGTGTGTTAGTCCAGAAGTTAAAATGAGATAAATTATGTCTCAAAGTTGATGAAGCCGCGGAAATATGAGAACCATTTTGTTGTACAGCTTGAGGTTCAATGGAAGATATTGGAGGAACGGGATGGGGACTCTCAGGGCTTATAGGCAGCATGCTTGACTCCAGTGCTTCGTTACCTGGAATTCAAATCTCGTCAATAATCACAGAGAAACTAAGATGCAAGAGCAAGAATGAAAGGTTTGATACTTTATGAGAGTTTACTTACAGTTTGTTGCCTTCCATCCCAACACCATATTTTCACGATCAAATACTACACGATAGCCGGTCATGAAGTTTTCTGGAAGCAAGGGAGAAAATTTGAGATGAGTGAATTCAGGAACAATATCCAATAGCCATATGCGGGCAAACTATATACTAGCAGTGCAAATTACAGATAAATTGATATACTCACGGCCAATGATATTTACGTCTTCACTTTTGACAATTCCCAAGCAATATATGTCTCCAGTCTGAAGATTAAAATGAAATATTTCAGCATAGCAGCAAAAGGTGGAAAATTTAACATATTTGAGAAGAAAATTACCATAACAGAAACTGTAACTGTAGGATCAGTAACATAAAATTGGTCTCCACCATCCATTGTCAAATTGATAGAAGGTATTTTTGGGCCGTTTTGGCTTGAGCTGCAAATTTTAGTTTGGTCATAGCTTTAATATAAACAGTAAAAGTAAAAAAGAAACACTTCAAGAAAGATAAGTCACTAAGACTCACCTCAAATCGTAGCAGTACTTGAAAGGGATGTCTTCAGATTGAGAAGTGTCCCTCCTATCTTTTATGTGAGCATCAAACTGCACAGAAAGACTTATGAATACTTGCATTTAACAAGGAATATCACTTGCTACCACCAGTAAGAAGGTTTTTAAGAACTTACTTGTTTAGCGATTAGTGAGTAAACTGGTTCATTTAGGTAGGTGAATGAAGTGCCAGTATCGAAAATTGCATAAAGACCATCGACGTGAAAGACTTTTGCTTCCACGCTAATCTGCGATATGCTAACATTGTAATGCGGACTGGTAAGAGGTTAACAAAGGCAGGTCAGAAGATATTACAAGAGGATACTTATTCATCAAACCAAAGATTGTCAAGCTAAAAAATCCATAGATAGGTAACTACTTACTTTATCTTTCTAAGGTTGAATGGGGTTTTACTTTGATCCGAGCTGCCCGTATCACCAAATGTGATTCTTCCCAACCCATTATCTCCAAAACACATGGAGAAAGAATTTGCAGCAATTTTCTGACTTGATAACATACTGGGCACCGATATACTATCCAGACCAAGCCCAAGTAAACCATTGGGAGCTCCACCATCCAAAAATGAACCAGTCTCAACCTTGCCGCAACTGCAAATCAGTTCAGCTTACTCATGTTGAAACTTAACTCTTTAAACAGAAACAAAATTTTGTTAAGCTCTAAGTCTCTTACAAATGGGCATGCCAGCTATTAAGTCCTTTAAGGTACTTGAATCTTATTTACTGTTAACTTCTTACAAGCTTAATTTTTTACTTCATACTACATCAATGTTTCATAAAAACTTAATTGAATGCGTAAAATGAATAATAGTTTTTTCATTTGCAGAAATTAAGAGCACCCTGAAGCTTAACCCAAACTACAAAAGTTTATTGGTTATAGAAATGCAATATGTAAATAATATTTTACTTGTTTAAGATATTTTGAACACCTACAATTCGACTTTATGCAGAAAAGAACACTCTAACTATTGGTGATGCATCCTGAAAGATTAAATATGCAACTTATTACCTAAATTCCTCCAAAGCATACTACTACGAAGGCCTTTTAATGTAAATATCACAATTTTAATGAAACAACTAACAGGTCTATCAGGTCGAAATTGACTTACCCAAAAGGAATTTTTGCATCAACAGGCTTAGAAGGATTATCATCGGCGGTAAGATGCAAAACATCCTCTACTATGTATCCAGAAGAAGATGTGTTAGAAGAGAGATACATGACTCTGTAGGGACACATGCTGGGTGAAACTGGACAGGTGGTTTTATGTGCACACAGAGGACTGTTGCAAGGAATTTTTGACCCCGAAGACGATGTATTGAGGCTGTAGATGCTGAAGTCTAGCTGGTACACCAAAAAATAATATGTGAATATCGAAAGGTTATCTCCAAGAGTCACAATTGCAAGAGAAAGCGGCATCCCCTTATCAATCCATTAACAATTTAACAATTTTTTTTTAATGTAAGAGAAGCATGAAACACTTTCAGGGCTTAAGTGATGTAATTGAAAAACTATGATTTCAAACTTATCTTACAAACTTAAATTCCATCCCTGAGAATCCAGATATGATTTGGCACCTGGTCTGTAGTCACTGTATACTAGATTAAAACAGACGAACAAATCGAAAATATCCAAATCTAGCGCAATATCCAAGCGTACTTTAGCTCATAGCCTCTAAGGCTCTAGACTTCTAGCGCCATATCAACAAATTTTCTATTCTTGACTGCGAGCTTGGGAATTATAGTTGTTACAACCAAATAATTATATAATTAAAAGGCAGCTCACTTCTAATCTAAGACGAAAACACCACAAGGTCTAACAAGCTAAACAACATACACAAATGAATGTCTTTGATGATCCCATAACATAGTGACTAACATCCAATAGGACCTTAAATTTTCAATTAACAAGTCGGCTTCCTAGTTAGGACTACATTGTTATTTTTTCCACGCACTATCATTTATTTAAAAAAGAATGATATAAGAAATACCTCAACAAACAAAGATGGCTTAAGATAGACTTGTTGAACTACCGAAAGGGATATCTCAACTAATAATGACTTAGCTAGTAAACCATGCATCATATAGAATATTCTTCGCTTTTTTTTTCTCCTCCATATAAGAACTATATTAATGTTTACTTTAGATGGAAACTCCGCGTATCTAGTGCTATACATGTTGATATTGATGTGCCATATTATTAAAGGACTATAAATTAGAGCACCTAGCTTTTCAATTATTCATAGTATGTTTTTAGATAAACAAATAATAAAACTAAACCAACATTCTCTTAGTCTTATTTTATAAGAAACTAATTTGATTCAATCATACAGTAAAGAGGTCCAAGTAAACATTACAATATGATAAATGGTATAATTATATAATTTTAAAACATAACATTATAGGGCAAAAAATCTAATAATACCTCATCAGAGTTAAGTTTGACTCCCTTGACACACTTAATACAGTCACAAGGTAGCCAAAACAGGTCACTTCCGGTGTCTAACGCCACCAGAAACGATAATCCCGGTGTCCCCACCGTTACGTTTGCATAATGTAAGCTGCAAAAAACACATTTAGACTATTAATAGGAGCTTTTTTTAATTAAGTCAAAATCCTTCCACTCCCCAAAAGAAAAAAAAAGTAAAAAAAAAAAAACATCTAGTACCCGTAGTTGTTAAAAAGATGAAAACTTTTTTTTTGCTAATGAGTATAATTATAAGCATCCTATGCCAAAAATAAGCATTTACATAAAGTTCACTATAATAATCCACCTTTTTTTCTATCAAAAAAAAAAAAATCTATTTTTTTTTCGGTTATCATTCTACAAATTTCCCGCAATTTCGCACCAGAATAATCCAGTTACATGAAAAACAAAATAATTAATTAACCCCCCTTTGATATAAAATACAACGTTTATATAACCAATTAACCATGCACGTCAGCACGTGTCAACTAGTTTAGATAGTTAACGTCCAAACCCGAAATCAAATCATGTATATAGTAAATTAGTACTCCGTAACAATACTCCGTACCATTTTCCCTAGCTCTTTCATACACAAAATTGTTTTAAATATACTCTGTTTATTCATTGAAGTACATAATAACCGCTTAACGGTAAAGTACTAGTAAAGGCACTTTGGGCCGTTTGGTACATACTATAATGGGCCGGGTTGACTTATACGGGTTTTATTTTGGCAAAGACATTCTCTTTGCTAAATTTAAAAGGTGATTAAAAGGAAAAAATTAAACTTACAAAGTAATTATGAAAAATAAATTAGGATTAAAAAGCATCAAACTTTACATTAAAAATTGAAAATTCATTAATCTAGATGAACTTCACTTCACTAAAACTAAATAATATTGCAAAATTCGGGTAATTTAATTACTCAATAAATAAATTAAAGTCGTTTTCAAAAATTAATAAATTCGACTAATTTACTAGAATAATAATTGAGGAGAGAGAAAGAAAACATACAATCCGAAGAAGCTGATGCGATAAGTTGTGTTACCGGAGGAGAAGGTAAGAGGAGTATGAGAGTCACCGGAAGTAGACGATAGCCGGCGGCCATGAACGGCGAGATCACGTTGAGCTAAGGCGGCGAAGTAACCGGTTGAGCCCTTAACCGGTAACTTATCACCGACGTCTAGAATCCGATTAACTGGATCCGAGAATCTATGGTGGACTTGAAACCCGAATGTGTGGTAAGCTTGGGTGGGCCAAAAAGTCCAGCCCAAGAAAAGAACAAATAGGAGAAGAACATGTGTGCAAGTTAGGATCTTTTTGGGATTATTAATATTATGATTATTCATATTTATTTTGTAAGTTTTGGGTAATTTGAAGAGAGAAAATTAAGAATAAAAAAGAAAAGACAAGAAAATGGAGAAGGAAGGAGAGGGTACAAGGTTTGGTGGTTAATTATAGTGTAAAGACCAAGGGTGGTGGGACATGTACCCAAAAAAGAAACCACCTTCCACCTCCCTTTGAATATGGAGGACTAACTATTGGGAATTTTTATTATGCAAGTCATGCTTTACTAATATTGTTAGTATTATATTATCTGTTTATCATATGGAATACTTCCTTTGTTTCTTTATGATGTGTCGGGGTACAGTACGGATGTTTTTGTAAGATTTATGTGGAATTTAAAAGTTGTAGGATCAAAAATAATTTGCGTGAACTTTAAATTGTGGTTTTTTAGATAACTAACGCAATTAACATTATATGGGTTTTACCCTTCCTTCTTCTTTGTAAAGAGAGGAGGTTGGAGGTACACCTCCAAGTAACGGGATTTGAATTGGAATTTTAACTTGCAAATTGGTTCTTACATATCTTACCACTAGACCAAACTAATATTGTAAAATGGAAGAACGAGTTATGTCTAGCATGTAGTCTATGTTAAAGTCTTTTTATTTGAATATACGTAGTAATTGTAAAATTGAAGTTTATCAATTTGAAAGAAAATAGTTCACCTACTAACCTCAATAGGGAAATTTAATTTTGAGACATTTGCCAAAGGGATATGTTTTATGATAAAAAAAAAAAAAAAAAAAAAAAAAAAAAAAAAAAAAGACAAAAAAAAAAAACCTTTCTCCTCAAGCCGAAGTGAGTGAGTTGTGGCATTAAGTTAAGCATGGATTAAAAGTTTGAAAAGCTTGATGTCAAGCTAAGGACACTTGGATTGATCTAATATTTAAAGATAGAGTGCAGTACTTACGTGCAAGATAGGCGATAAATATACCAAATATTCTCATCAAAAAAAAAATACGGGAATTGAATTGAAAGTAGTACATGTTGGATATTATTGAAAGTTTATATAGTACTCAAACAGTCAAACATAGTACTCAAACATAATTAGTGTCAAATTGTACAAAATCTATTTTCTTTGTTCCATAATAATTAACACAGTTAAACTTGACACACGTGTTATAAAACCAATATATGGGGTACGCAATATCCTTTCACCTCTCTTTTGTACTCCATCCATAATTTTGTATACATAATAATGGAATATAATCATTTTAGTATTCTATGTTATTAAATACAAGTGTATTTTCATGCTAAGATCGAATAGAGTAAAAACAATGGAGAAAAGAATATAGGTGAGATTATTATTTCAAAATTGATAATAGTAGGAGTAACCAACTTAAATAATTGCAGTATAAGCTTTTCTTTCAACGGAAGACAAACAAGCAAACGCTTACACAGTTATGCTTAACAATCTATGTGTATAAGCTGAAATTGAAACTCAATTTTGAATCAAAGAGACATTATTTCACAGTTTCACACTTCAAAAACGAATGGGGAAGAGATGTTGACGTGATTATGTAATTGTTGACAATGTTCTTCGAATGATGTTGGAATGTTGATAAAACACGGAACAATTAATCAATTATGAAAGAAACTGAAATTTGAAGCTAAAAAAAAAAAGGAGTCATCACCACCTAATCCTTGATTAAACTAAATTTACGAGTTGAATTTTGTGTTATCAAACAAATGGACTGGTAGTATGACAGTATCATATTCGAACACGGTAAACCATTTGACAAATCTCGGCCGTAATGCATGGGTTTACATCATAACATAAAATTGTTAATTAGTTTTTGTGTTCCATGTTATAGGTCGTTATTTTAAGCATTATTATTAATCAATATTGCCTCTCTAATAAATGATAAATTTTATAAAGTTACGTTTGTTAATGCATAAATTATCATAAAAAAGGTTATATATTAGAAAAAAAAATTAAGAGAAATCTTACTAGATCTTATATGACTTTTTTATCTTATAAAACACAAAAATTAGTCAAAGTAAATACTACTATATAACAAAAATTAGAATAATAATACTTCCTATTAACTTATTTACAAGCATAAACATAAACACAATTTTTTGTATGGGACCTATTGTACCGTGCGGCAGGGGTTACTCAAGTTACTTGGTCAGGGGTTACTCGAGTTGCCGGGGTTACTCGAGTTTCTCGGTCAAGGGTTACTCAAGTTGTCGGGGTTACTCAAGTTACTCGGTCAGGGGTTACTTGAGTTACTCCTGACCGAGTAACCCCTCAAGTAACCCATGACCGAGTAACCCATCGAGTAACCCCTGACCGAGTAACCCCTGACTGAGTAAACCCTCAAGTAACCCCTGACTGAACCCTCAAGTAACCCCTGACTGAACTCCTTAATTAACCCCAACTGAATTACTCGAGTAAACCCTTACCGAACTCCTTAAATAATCCCTAACCGAGTAACTCGGGTAACCCTTGACCGAGTGAACCCCTCGAGTAACCCCTGTCCAAACCCCTCAAGTAACCCTTGACCGAGTAGTTCGAGTAACCCCTGACTGAAAAAACTCGGGTAACCCCTAACAAAATAATTTGGGTAACCCATGTCACACAGTGTGGCCTACTGCACCAAAAACTTGTTGAAAAATAAAAGTGTTTCAATTTAACAAGTTTGAAGAAATAGAGAAAGCATATCACAGTATGACTATCTGTTTTAAGTTTTCAACAGTCTGCTATCTTCAATACACACCAACATCGGTCATTAAAAAAATATTGAACCTCTATCAATTAGGACCAATTCTAAGTCAACCAATAAATATTGTACTGAAACTTGAAATATGCGTTAGAAACCTGGAGTACTTTCCGAATTCAAATTTGATTGCACCTCTATCAACTAGTTAAGTTCGTATCAATTGAGTCATTTGTGGGGCGAAGTCAGTCAAGTCTTTTAAGCAGATGGCCTACAAAAATTATTACGAAGTAGTGTTTAACAAAGAAAAAAAATGCAGTTAACGTGCCTTGGATAGTAGGACTTGACTAGTAATCCATATGTGAGGTCTAAGAAAGAACATAATGAGAGGTTAGTCCCCTCCCCCAAGTGATGGGGTCACTTGGGGGTTCAATTCCTCACAAACTCCATTCCTGTGATAGGGTGATGGCCCCTCCCCCGTAGTTTACCTTTTTTTTTTTTTTTTTAATATTGGTCTTTGAGTCTATTCTTAGATAGACTATTCGGGGTGAGAAAATTTACTAGATTGTTTAGATGCACTTACAAAATATCACATAATACGATCATGGTCAAAACACTAACTATTAATAGTCTCAATTAGAATATGTTATTCTTGACTTACTCCGTGCATAAAAAGCTCTAGTAAGTTAAATTTCCAGAAAAATAAGTTACAATATCATGTTACTAAAATAATATGTCAATTAATTCAACAAAATATGCTTAGATAGATTTTAAAATACGGAGTACTTGTAATTATAGGTTCATACGTAGTATTAGTCAATAGATGTTGACAAGCCCAACTGTCGTCGTTGCACAAGTGGATGTGTCCATTAATCCACTATACAAGAAATATTAAAGCAAGCCCAAAAGGGAGAACTAAGTCAGGACAATTGATATTAACAGAAGGCTCCCTACAAGATATAAGGCTCAAAATCAGGATCTACGAGCAGAGCGGTGGAGTGCACACTACTACTAACATTTTTACGCATAATAACATGACGCAATTGATATGGACATGCCTGTCTGGTTGTCTAACATGCTTTACGAGATTAGTAAATAGGGTATGAATTACGTCTGATAATATGCAGTTTAGATTAGACCTCATAGAAGTTGAAGGGAAAAGGGCCTGTGTTAAGTGGCTGTGAGACAGGTGACCTGTACAATTTCTTGTTCAGTGTCTGATTTCGGTAGGTTTGTGGGTAACATTTAGGTAGCAGTATGTTCAAATTTTGTTATGCCAGGACAAGATGAGAAAATTGAACCTGCAGGTTGATGTGTTTGGGTAGGTCAACATCCAACAATATTTGTGCACACACCATCGCTTGCCACGGTGCCAGTAGAGCAATCTAGTATATGACAATAAAAAACAGAAACTAACCGATTTCCACTAAGTTAGCTAACCTTGTGGCTTTGAATGCTCGCTTACAAGCAAACAAAACCTCAAAATCAGTAGACTATGCCAGAATAATAGCAGAAGAGAATTCGAATACGAATACCAGCTATTTGAAGCATTTCATAAAAGGGACTGTAAATATTCCTCTTAAACATTCATACACCAAAGGCAAGGAGATTACAATTTAAGAAGAATCCTAAACCAGCATCTATAAGCCAACAAGTACAAAACAGAATCCTAAAATAAACTAAGGAGATAGAAAACATATGTAAGCCGGAGCATAACGCAAGCCTACAACATAAACCATAGATAAAACGCTACTTATCACTCCAACAGGTGTACAAGCTATGGCTACGACAAACTACGCATTTACCGTTCCCAAAAAGTTGCCCCCTTGGTAACACGAGTATGTTTCCTAGCTCTGAAAGTAACTTCATAGGTTTTCACTTCTTAGCCATCCTTTTAGCAGTTTACTCACAAGAGAGCTGCGCATATACACCAATAAGTCAGACAATAAGCACATTGCATTATTGCATAAGCAAGAAAGAAGATTTATGCTGCTTGTATGTAGGAACTTTACCTATATGATTTAGAAAAACTAATCATCAAACCTAATCTTTTTTGATGCAGGCAGGTTAGCACCCTCCTGTAAAATAGGAAAAGAACAAAAGAATTAGATCTCAGTAAGATGGCCAAAAAAGCTGTTACATACATAAACATACACCAATCAAGGGATTGTAGCTTTATATTCCACAGAACATCCAATGCACCCAAATACAAGACATCACCCAAGCAATCTCAACAATAATAGAAATACAGAGGAAAAACAAGAATTAAGAGCCAAAACTAATGCTTCGTATATGAATAGCTAATAGAGAAACTGTAGTACATAATAACCAAATAAGTTGACTAACAGCGTACCACTTATAGATACCCTTCCTCAAATCTGTCAGTAAAATAAAGACATTACAATGACTGCATCATAGAGGAAGAGAAATGATCTGGGTACCAAATATTAAGCTCTTATATGACTAGGATCAATAACACAGTGTTTCTCATCCTTTCAGCCAGTCATCTTCATTTCCCATCCACAAAATGAAAAGAACCCCCAGGCCTTAACTCAGAAGTACCAAGATTAGCTTTCAGCTCCTTAATGGCCATCCCATTTCCTCCAATACCTTCCTAATCCAAACTAATCTCCACTACCTACATATACTGTCTTGATCAATTAACTCACAAAAAATAGTAATTGGAAATGGATTGCCCTCAACAGGAGGGCATCCTTGGAATAGTAACAAGTAATGATGAATTGAAGGACAGCTTATCGCCAGTTATTTAAGCTGAAAAGAAACAAACCTCAACACACCCGCCTCCTTTTCATCAACAAAATATGACAATTGTAGAAAGGAGAAAAAAAAAATAGTTTCTTTTACATGATAATGTCACACACGCACCAACCAAAGCATATACATGACAAAGCTAACACCACAATTTAATATGGGAGTAAAAGTTAGGACAACTTACCACTTCGGGACATTCATAGTCAATTCCAGCAGCCTCTATTTTACTTCTTCGTTTTCTGTCCTTCTTCAGAATTGTTTTCAGCAATTTCTTGTGCTCCTCAAGTGTCCTATCCTGCACAATCATATGTTAATAAGATATTCACAGACCTTCCCTTAATAAACTAAGGCTCTTTCTATCAGCATATACCTTATTATGCTTTAACCTCTCAATTTCAACAAAGTCAACTGGCGTTTTCTGTCTGCGGTTTACGCCTTTCCATCTACATTTGTAAGATGGACATAAAATATCAGAAACACAGCCATACTTAAGTAAAAAAATCTAACATAAGATTGACAGGTGACAACATTTCATGAATTTGAAATGTAGGAAGGGTAGAAATCAAAGTTCATCCTTAGAAAGAAGCATAAAAGGATGTTCACCCAACTTGCAGGCAATATAGCATAATTGCATAGGGATATCGAACTAATAATAGTAATAGCAGACAATGAGCATGAACTTTAATAAAAAGCTGCAAGGATTACCATTATAATATATTTGATAGCAGATAGAAAGTCCATGATTACCATAGTTGCCATTCAAGCCAAAATCAATATTACACCACACCAATAGCCAGGTTCAATGATCAAATCTACGCAGACTACACCAATTTATATAATTAAGGCACTAGGTACTAAAATAAATTACAACCTTCATCCATTTTACTAGCCCCATTTTTTTTTTTTTTTTTTTGGATGTACCAATTTATTTTTGCCCTAAGTCTTTGTTAGAAAAGATTCTCTCTCTAATTTAAATCTTGAGTTAGGTCTCACACTCACCCAACCACACATTTAGTTCTTTCCCTACTTTTTCACTTTGCATAAAACCCTTAGCTAATGCCTATGGGGCAAGTAATTTCAGACAGTGATACTGCAATAGTATAAGATTTATGCAAATATTAGAGTGATTACTAATTAGACATTAGGATCTATTTTAAGTTTACAAATATATTAGCAATAATAATAGAAATAAAAGAAAACAGTTAAATATTTAGGGCACTAATATCAGCAAGTGATGCATATACAAAATATGGGCCTAATTGATAGGAGAGAGAGTGAATAACATTAAAGTTTGAATTTTAGGCTATTGAGAAATATGAGAATAGGAGGAATGGAAGATATGTCTTTTGATCCCTTTTTTATGTTTAGTACTTTCATTGTAAAACAACATTCTTCAGGTTGTGTACTCTGTAGAGATGTTTATCTATGCTTGTTTATTCCAAAAATATTATAAAATAAGATACAATAATGGTACAATGGTACATCCAATACTTGAGGAGCCAAATAGGATATTCAGATTCGGATCAAATAATATTCGAGAGATGAATCGAATTTTCAGTTAAGTTTTTAGTCATACCAAGTCAATCCATATTCGAATCGACTTCTACATCCAATTATTTAAGAATACCACCATCTATGCCCTTACACTCTCACATGAGAGCACAGCACTAACAGTCTAACACTACCTCCCATCTCCACCAATTAACTTTCTACCAATAACTCTAATCACAACTGCTAATCATGACCAACACTACTTCCACCGCTGATCAAAGACAATAACAAGAACATCCAAAGTACACCCCCACCTCTACATATATCTCAACCTCTCCCAGCCATCACCACCTTTAAGGCCAACTACGACCATCCTCTATATTTCCTAAACACACCATCCACCTAGCCATCTGTCTTCCAATCCTCCACAAACCCCACAACCATGGTTCCACCAAATACCATATTTATGAAACTAACCCTTATTACTTTTGGTAGAAAAATTAATTCACATTTTCCAATTACAACAATAATCTGACTAGTGACTACCTTTCATCTAAACAAGGTAACAACTCGAAGAATTATACAACACAAAAGTACAAACCACAGCAGTTAATTTCACATAGACACTTGGACTAGACCAATTTGTTTTTAATAAACACTCATAATATTAATAATAAAGTAAGAAACATTATGGTCCTATCAAATTCCTAATTTCACACAATTGCAGATTGCCTCAGTATTATCAAGAAACTCCACAAAACCAAAAAGTTTAAGTCATTTCACACACAACCAAAATAACATTCATTCCCAATATTATACAGCTCGAACAAGAAACGCTTACAGTTTAGGATGTACTTGCTCTGGAGCGATCAATTTTACTTGCAGCATGTGCTCAAACAGTAGGTAATTATGCATACATTCTGAAACAATTTTGGCAACCTGTAACGACGATCACCAAGATTAGAAAAGCAGTAACGAACTCCAAACATTAATTCAGGCCAGTAAAATTAAACAACCTCTGGGTACTCAAACTCGATGAAACCGTGATGCTTAGATTTTCCGGTCTGTAAAACATTCAAATACAAAAAATAAACATTAGAAAAGCAGGACAACCATTATCAAGACCAGTATCCTCTCATACAAATCACTTACGGTGTGTTTGGATAGAGAAAGAGGAAGGAAAAGAAGGGGGTGGGGTGGGGGGGAAGGGGTGGGAAGGGATGGAAAGAATGATGTGTTTTCCTTCCAAATAAGAGGAAGGAAAGGGGGGGGGGGGGGGGGTGGGGAAGAATGATGTGTTTTCGTTCCAAATCTCTACATTGTTGGAGAGATCAATTTTTTTTAATTTATCCCCTCCATTTCTCTCCCCCTCCAATTCTCTCCTTCCCTCATTTGTTATACAAATGAAAGATAACTCATCCCTCCATATCCCTTCCCTTCCTTTCCATCCATTTCCTTCAATCCAAACAAAGTGTTAGTAAGCCTTTTGAGCTAGTCTCTTACACAATTAGTCTCCAAAGGCGGCCAGTTCGGCTATTAAAATTCACAATTTATGCTTCAATATTACTTCTTATCATCTTTAAAGCTCATAAAATGAAGAAAATTATAGCAAATAGCACACAAGTGATCACAGCAGAAACATCAAAACAGCCTTGCTTTCACAAGTCATAAACAACTACATTCAAAATGTAACTCAGAAAACAAAAAAAAAAAAAAAAAAAAAAAAAAAAAACAACCTTCCTGCTTCGAGAAATCTTCAATCTCTTAATAGACCCAAATTGTTGAAAAAACCCTATCAAAAATACGAAAAATCAGCAAAATTTATCAAAATCAATTACACAGCAACCAACAAATACCCAAAAAAAAATTAAACATTATATATATATTAAAAAAAAAAAAAGGCAAACCTTCCATTTGATCCTCGTAAAATCCATGAGGAATTCTGCCAACATAAAGAACAGTAGCTTTGTTATCTAAATCTTCTCCACCTTTGGGTAGCTTACGAGCCGGACCACCTTCTAGCGGCTATCAAATTGAAAAATTATGAATAACAAACATTATACTAAAACTTTAAGATATAGTTTTTATACATAGAGGCGATGAATTGTAGAACAAAGATACATACCAAGAAATCTGAATTTGAAGCAGTAGGATTTTGATTGCCCTTGTTCGTCATTTGCTCTGATTTCTATGAATTGAGAAAATTGAACGAAGAAGATAATTGATGGTCCGGACAAGAGGAAGAGGGGTTCTTTGTTGTTGTGACTGCTATTTTGTAACCTGGGTTTTTGGCAAAGATGTGCGATTCTAGGGTTTTGGTTTTTTTTTTTCTCTCTCTCTTTTAATTTATTATTATTGTTTCGGTAAAATATCTTCTTAAGAGTATTTAGGACTAATCAGACGCACAAACAATATTGTATTTTTTCCCCAAAAAAAAACTTGTATTACGTATGAGGCTATCACAAAAAATTAAAATAATACGAGTACCCAGTATTAATATATTTGATGATTTTTTTTAAAAAAAAAATACATACTGTATGATAATAGTTTCATAATATAATATTAATATACATAAAATGTGCGACATTTAGAGTAGATATTTTTTTTGGAAGTGTGACACCCGGATTATGTACATATACAATTTTTTTTTTTATGTGCAATTGATTGTACCTTGAACAAAGTTTTAATGCAACAAGAAATTTTGTCACTTTGGTATAATGTTTTCAAAATCACTTTTATCATTTATATTCATATTTTGGTTGAGGTTAAGATGGGTTTCATGGTGGTTCAATGAGTTTTTTGGTGGTTGGGTGCCATGGGTGGGGCCGTGGGGCAACGTTATTGAACGATATAGTTGAAGTTTGTTCAAGCGGTTAGGTTGGGTGGTGTGGTAAGGTGGTGTTAAAAACTCGAGATAGCCATGTAGTACAAGAGGAAAAGTGTAGGAGAAACTTTAGAGGAGAGCCTATTCTATACACCTGGGATAAAAAATAAAAAAACTTAGAATTTGACCTAACAAACCCCATCAAAAAAAATTAGATATGTTGATTCTATAACACTTTTTAAACTATCCTAAAGCTAGCAACCCATTAGTCTACAGAAAGAAAAAAAAAATTGTATAACATTTTACGGGGTACTAGCCAAGCAATTGTTAATGTTCATACATGAGGGGATCAACCAACACCTTTACATTACAGTGTGTTATCGTGTGAACTTTCATATACTAACAACCGTCAAACAAAAAATTTCACCCTCCCACAGTCCAGGTGCCTTTAGAAATAAATTTCAAAGAAAGGGTGAGAAAATCTCAAACAATTAACCTTTATATTACTCTTGCATTATTCAAAATTTCAAAGCATAAAGGAAAGGGGAAGATTTGATCCCCGGAGAAAACTCTAAACAATTGAGCTGAATCAATAGAATTTGCTTTTGGCAAGCTGGTAGATACTAAAACAATACAAATATTATAAATTGTTTAATACTCTATCACTACAATTCTATAAAACAATAATATACTACTCCGTACTAATATAATGGCCTAGCCTGTTTCTCTTGATAACAGTGCTAAAAAATTACACTTTACACATCTTATCTTCTAACAGTAGAGACCTTAAAGAATAACAAGAGAACAGAGCATAGAAAAAAAAAAAAAAAAAAAATCATGTGGTACTTCTCAAGTGCTAGTGAAACAAGAAAGTCATAAAAAATAGGGTAATCAAAGAAGTAAATACTTCACAAAAATGCCAGAGGCAAGTGGGTGATGTTGCTGAACTATGAGATGTGCTCCCTGTTGCATCTTGAGTTTTATTATCCGGTTGTGCAGCAACTGCAGGAGGGACACGGGCATCATTAGTCTCTTTACCTCCTACAGAAGGTTTAAAGTCCTCAATGTCATAACCTGCACAAAAACGCCAATGGTTCAGTATTGTGGCCAGCTAGTGTATACCATACAACTAATTTTAGACTTACAATCAGATTTCTCCCAGCCCAAGCTTAATTTTTCTCTGTCAAATACTATGCGATAGCCAGTCATGAAGTTTTCTGCACAAATACCAACGGAATAAGAATAAAAGAAATTATGCATCAAAATTGCAGTTATAGGATGTGATCATAATCTGTTCTAATAGCCAGCACTAAGATCTTACTAAAATAGTTAAGCAAAGACCAGATCAAGAGTATCAGGATCAAAACTTCTACTTATCAATTCACTCAAGTATTTAATTTAAACATGGGCCACTTCAAGACTAATTAATAAAGCAAACAAGAAAGCTAGGCTTCTCATAGTGTATGACCCAGAAAGATTATGTTCTCATTTTGGCGCGATCTAGACACTTCCATGCACTTGCTGACTTGACGGAGTTGGCAAATGCATTTAACCAAAAATGCAATCAAGACCATTATCTGCAAATAAATGACTTACGTCCAATAATACTGAGCTCTTTACTCTTGACAACAGCAAGACAATATACAAGTTCAATCTGCATTCAAAAGCATGAAAAATGCACTTAATAGCAGCAGATTAGACAAAGGTTGAGTTTATACTTCGTACAATTTAAAGCATGGCTTATAAGTGGATGTTAGCTTCCCACCTGGGTTGAAATGACAATGATAGGATCATAAATCCTATACTGGCCACCCCCTTCCATAGTAAAACTCACAGTGGGTACTAAGCTTGTATTTGCATCTGGTCTGCCGATTGTTAGGAAATAACAGAATATTAAAACCTGAGATACGTTATGGAATTTAAAAGCAACCTGAAGATCCTAGAATTTAACCTCATGTCATAGCAATACTCAAATGGGAGTCTTGAATCAGCAGGACGCCTCTTATCTTTAACTTGTAAATCAAACTGCAACATCAGGGGAGGAAAGAAAACAGCATAATTAGATAGGATAACATGGCAGTGTGAGACTGTGAGGTAAATATGAATCACATTAATCCTTACATTTCTAGCAAGGTTTGTGTAAAAGGGATCGACAAGATATGTAAAAGATGTCCCAGAATCAAAAAGAGCAGTGAATTCCACGTCATTGAGGGCTGTTCCTACTTGAATTTGAGTTAGAGTTATGTTGTAGCTAGGGCTGCCCAAAAGAAGAAGAAAAAATTTCAGATGACATACAGGTAAAGAGTTTCAATCATTGACAATAAATCATTCACAGGTAAAAATTGACGGGCTAAAAAACAGCTTCAAGTATATGAGAAATTACCACTTACTGTAAGGGATTTACATTGAATGGAGTTTCCTTCTGATCAGGGCTACCTTTGTCACCAAAGCTTATTCTTCCAACTCCATCACGGCCAAAACACATGGAGAAAGAATTTGCTATATAACCTTTCCTGGACAATATGCTGGGCACTGATATGTTCTCCATACCCAGTCCAAATAAACCATTGGGAGCTGCTACGTCAAGAAACGAACCAGTCTGAACTTGTCCACAGCTGCAAAAATCCTATATTAGTTTTTAAGCATCCAGAACGAAAGATTTTCAGGCACTGTCATAGCATTGAAGAGTTCCATCAAGTTGCTACTCATTAAGGCCTGTACAAGCTCCTTTTTTGAAGCTTAACCAATTAAAACACGACATTTTTCAGTTGGCAACATAATTAAAAATATATTAGTATGCCAATTCACTTCCATTTTAAAATTACACACATTTACAAAATGCAAAGCAACAATCTGGGAATTGTCACTACAAGTGCCAAACGAGCATGTCTAATTGTCTACTACCAGTAAACGTTTTAGTTTAGCTAGAGATGTAATTAGTCTAGCTTTCACATACATGCACTGATACAGTGATACAAGAGTACATATCTAATCAATCGGAACTCACCCAAATGTGATGTAAGCCTCAACCGATTCAGGATGGTGATCCTCTGTTGTCAAGTGCATAATATCCTCCACTAATATTCCAGAGGTCGATGTCTCAGCAGAGACATATGAGATTACGTAAGGGCAATGACTGAATGATTCCAAGCATTTGTTATGGTGTAGACACAAGGTATCATTGCATGAGACTTTCGTGCTAGTGGATGACGCTTTAGGGTTGTATATGCTAAGCTCAAAATCCTGTGTTCCAAAAATAAAGAAAAATAAGGATTTATCACATATTCAGAAAGTACAGAATGGAAAAGCGACATAGAACTTGCAAATACTATTGAAACTAGTCACTTCAGTATAATTGATGACCATTTAATTTTAAGCTTCAAGCGCAAGCTTCTTTACATCGAAACTTATGCAGATAAACACTATCATGGCATAAAAGAGCTTTAAATGAAGTGACAGAAGGGTTACTTTCTATTAATTGATTCAGAAATAACTATGTCCTGGAAGAAAACCCAATGAAATGTTTGAAGTATCGAAAGAAGAAGGCATTAATGTGAATTCTTAAACTTTATAAATGGCTAATACTTCCTTGCGTAAAACGCGTCGAATTTGAATAGAAGTACTCCATATATTAATAAACATATCACAACTTTCAGAATAGGATAACAAATCACAACAACTGAGGCTTAAAGATTATAATGTTATTACAAGTTCACAAGTCTACCATATGTCAAACTGTTTAAATTAGTTGTTGCATTCAAGAAATTTCCTACAAAACCAAATATATGCATCATGATTCTATGAAAATTCTTCTGGTTCAAATACTACTCAAACCTACCATTTAGAAATGATGTAAAGAGCACTGGTTATTAAAATTTACAATAAAACAAACAGGTATTATGTCTCCATTAATGATTCAAATTTTTTTTCAGATTTAATAATTTATTCGAGTTATCAAAAACAATTCATAATTACCATGTGGTTAAAAAACAATCCAGTAGAAGCAAAGCAACCCATTGTGAATAAGCAAAAAACTAGCTCTTTTTAGCCACAACAAGAATTCTGCTTCATTGGTCTTAAGGCCACTCAAGATTTTATCAAAATTGCAAGCAAGTCCTTAAATGCATCCGTTGAAAGTTTTTCTTCCACTAACACAACTCGATTCACTTTGCCTTTCCACCTACCCCTTTCTAACCTCATAAGCCAAATATTTAAAATTGAACCTTCTTTTTTAAATGAACATCCAAGGGCACATCAAAAAACACCCCAACAAGAACTAATTGGAGATTCTAAGAGTAGTGAAGTAACATAAGCTTACAGGGTCATAAGCATAACTTGCACCCTCAAGTGGAGCACATCTTGAACAATCACAAGGCACCCAAAACAGATCACTCCCTGTATCCAACGCCACCAAAAACTTCACTCCCGGTGTCCCCAACGTCACCGTTGTATAGTGCAAACTGCCAAACATTACCAACTAATCACCATCACAATAATAACTCATTTCATTTAAGAGTACAAATTTTACTTGGTAAAACAATAAAACAAGCAGAACTTATCAGCAAGTTAAATTTCACTAATAATCAAAGTCTGTTTAATCATCAAACCTTATTCTGCTTCTATATTAACGGCAGAATTTGTTAGCAAGTACATAACCAACAACTAAATGAAATATACCAAAATAATCATCATCAAAACCCTAATTTACACCAAAACATCTCAGCAATCGATCAATCAGTACCTAAGTAGACAAAGAACACACCCAAAATCACCATCAATCATCATAAACCCTAAATTTAATTCTATTTTCGGAAATACTAAAAACAGTGACAATTTCAGCAGTAAACAACACCAAATTAAGCAAAAAAAAATTAAATTAAAAAGAAACTTACAATCCCAAAGAACTAATTCGAAAAGTAGAATTTCCGTCAGAAAAAGTAACAGGTTCATCAAGTTCAGACATCTTGCGACCCCGAACGAAGCGATCACGCTGCGCTAAATCAGAATAATACTCAAAGGAGCCTTTCTTAGGCCAATGATGATGAAGATGATGATAATAATGAGGACTATGATGATAATGAGGATGATTATAGTTCTTCTTCGACCAAATCTTTACTTGTTCTGAGTATCTATGATGCATTTCAAAGGTGAAAACTCGAGCATTGCAAAACTGGAAAAAAATTGCAGAAATATTGAGAAAGATTAAGGAAATTGAAGAGAGAGAAAGCATTGTAATTGATTGATTGATTGATTGAAAATCATAAACAAAACCCTAGAAAATGAGATAGAAATTGAAGCAAAAACAGTAGCATTTGAAGAAGATGAATGAATGAATGAGTGAGTGAGTGAGTAGGTTGGATTGAAATTTGAAAGGGAAGAAGAGAGAGAAATGAGATGAGTGTTTGTTAGTTACAGTGGGACTGAAAAAGACGGTGTCAACTGGGGTCCACTTTTTAGTTTTTTTTTTTTTTTTTTTTTTTTTTTTTTTTTGCGCGGTGAGTTTAAATTAAAAGGGTTTTTTTGGCAATAGATATATATTGCCTGTTTTTGTTCTGGTGTTTTCTTGGATGGATATTTTTTTTAAATGGCAAGATTAATTAATTAAATAAACCCGTGTCGCCCGACATGGAAAACAAAAAATCTTTAAATTATATATGGGAAGATCATTTAGGAACATAGAGAGTAAGTAGTTGTATTTTGTACTAACTTGATGACAAATACTCTATTTCGTATATGATTATGATATTTTTCAAGATTGTTTTAGTCCTTTTTCTAAGTTATTCACGACTTTAAGATCTAAGGGGTTAAGTCGTCCAATCTCTCGTATTGTTTTTCTTGTTTGAAGTATATGGAAATCTCGTGAACCGTCATTTTTAAATTTAGTCAACTTAATATTACGAGCACTTATATTAGAAATTTTTTCTCCATTTCAAGAATGAAACGTTAGATACCTATTGACTCATTGGATACTCACTATTTAATTACGGTATTAATCATACTAAAGTATCGATGAAGGTGACACCCTTATCTCATGGTTATTTTAAATTAGACATTGACAATTCTTTTATTAATAACCATCTAGGTAATCATGTTACTAGTCAAACTTAAAATCTTGGAAACTATTCCCCCTTTATGGGAGTGGTTGGTGTTTCGGGGTTTTCCGATGTCCTGCGGGAGAGTTACAATTCCGAGACTGGAACCGGACGCCTGTACCTACAAAACAACGGAGACTCCTGGTGGTGGGAGCTCCGCCTCCAACGGTCAAGTTAGTACTTGATTAAGGAGTAATTAATGCGGAAATTAAAGTGATTGAGTCTCTCTAGGTGAGAGTGTTTAATGTAGGTAATCTGCTTTTTTTAGCGTGATCAGCCTGTTATCTCCGTCATCCCCCTTAATGAGGATTAAGGGAGGTATTTATAACCTTGGGAAACGTGCCAATCCTAGGTTTAGGTTAACCTAGGGCTGATTGGGCTTCCCTCGGAAGTTGGGCCTGGGTGGCCGGTTATCCCAGGTGTCATGGGAAGGACACGTGTCGTGTCGTAATTGGTCCAAGGTGGACGGATCATTGCTTGACACGTGGCAGGCTCCTATTGGCCCATGTGACGGACACATGGCGGAACTTGATTGGTCCACTTGTCAGATGGTAATTGGTGGGAGCAAAATCCCCTAATCAGTTGGGCCGGTGCAGGGTGGGCGACGACTCAAGGGCCCCAAAAAAGGCCCACTAAAATTAGTATATATATATAATTAGTTTTCATGATAATTATAGAAAGTACAAGTGGATCAATGGTTAGGCCGTGTTTATTATACTCTTTTGACTAGAGTTTGAATCCCATTGGAGCCTATTTTCCAATGTTATCAATATCTTGCAGGGTCACTACAATAGCCCTTGGAAGCTTTTTATCCTATTATGAATGACATAAAGACGATTCTACAATCTTCTGCGACGTATAAGTAGAGGTGGACATGGGACGTGCTGGCCACGGGCGGCGACTCGTGCATAATAACGGCTATTTTCTCCACAGCCATAAACGGCTATATTAACGACTACTTTCAGCTTCCTAATTCCTATAAATACTTCACTTCTTCCTCTATTTTTTTCCACAATTCATCAACTCATCTATTCTCAAATCTTTTATTCTCTAATTCTTACTCTCTCATAATCTCTACTTCTCAAAAAAAAAAAAAAAAAAAAAAAAAAAAAAAAAAACACTCATATAATCTTTAATTCTCTAATTCGCTCAATTATAAAAATAAAATATAAAAAATTATTAATTCGGGAAATTAATTAGCGGAAAGCAATCGAAGTGTCGTTGTAAGATCTAACTCAACGTTATTTTAATTTGTTATTGTTATTATTATTATTATTATTAGAAATTAGTAGGGAGCCGAGATACAATCTGGCCTCCCACCCTCTAGCCGAAATTATTATTATTATTATTATTATTATTGTTGTCGTTGTTGTTGTTGTTATTGTTATATATTAATTTATTATTATTGTTATAATTATTGGTCTTGCCACTATTATTATTGTTATTGTTATTATTATTTGTATTATTATTATTATTATTTGTATTATTATTATTGTTGATATTATTATTGTTACTATTATTAATCATGACATCAAACCTGAAACCTTCTTCCTCCTCTAGGAAAGCCAAGTCAAAACGTACTAGTACTAGTACTAGTAGGGAATCACCAAATCCAAACACTTCAATGCCCCACCCCTTAACATGCCCAATCCGAACACTTCCACCCCCTTCTTCCATCCCCAAACCGTGGGAAGATTCGCACAATTTAACAATATGTCTCCTTGGAATATGTCTAGTTCGGGATTTCAATTAAACCAATTCTCATCTCATTTATACGGCTCACAACATGAATTTTCTTATCAAACTAACCAAGGTAGCCACACAAATGCCACCGGATCAAGTGAACAATCCCCTGAAATTCCAAACACCCAAATGTCAAACACATTAGAATGGTGTACCGAAGAGGAACTTGTCAATAGCAATTGAAAGAGTAGTGTTTGGAGATATTTTCAATTAAGTAGAATGGAACCAAAGCCAAGTGTAAGACATGTAACAAAATTTACTCGGCCGATCCCAAGGGAGGGACGGGATACCTTAGTAGACATGTAAAAAAATGTGGTGGTCCATCTAGTGGTCCAACTCAACCCAAAATTTCTCAATTCCATCCAAAAGGCTTCACTTACAATTATGAGAGAGATATAGATGAACTTGGGAGAATGTTAGTACATGCCGAACAACCTTTTCTTTTTGCTGAAAATGATCCCTTTAACAATTACATTAACCGAGCACTACAACCCGAACACAAAAAAATCTTTAGAAAAATTGTCCGTTCGGCTACCATGAAATCTTTTCTAGAGTACAAATTGAAGTTATATGATGAATTAAGTAATATTACTTGTAGAGTTTCTTTGGTTGTTGATGCATGGGATAATGGTTATGGATATTACTATTTGTGTGTGACTTGTCATTGGTTGGATACTGATTGGTTATTACAAAAACGCATTATCCATAAATTTTACAATGCTTGAATACCCCCACACCGGTTTTAATATTGCTCATCCTTTAATACAAGCTATTGATGCATATAATCTTGGCCCAAAATCATGTCTATGACTTTTGATAATGCAACTTCTATGATATTTTGTGCAAATTTAGTTAAAGCACAATTGATCGATGTAATATTAGATGGAGATGCACTTCATACTAGATGCATTTGCCATGTTCTTAACTTGTGTGTGAAAGATGGAACACAAGCAATTGGTCCATTTTATCACAAAGTTAGAAATGCTATTATGTCTATTAACAACTCTAACATGAAATTTCAAGAATGGAAAGCTTTTTGCAGGCAACAAAGGATAAAGGCTATTAAAATATCAACGGATTGTGCAACTAGATGGAACTCCACCTATGAAATGTTGAGTAGGGCAATCAAGTACAAGGGTCCTTTAACAATTTTTTATAATAAAAAGTTTCCACAATTTGCTTTACTAGGTGATGATTGGTCTAATTGTGAAAAATATGTGCAGTTTTTACAATTATTATATAGTATGACACATTGTTTTTCTTCTGTTTATAATCCTTGTGCTCATTCTTTTCTTAGCAATGCATGTTTACTTGCACAACTTTTCGCTGAACACCAATCACAACACGATTATGATGGATATCTTCCATCTATGGAGGAAAAATGGCATAAATGTTACACTACTTTTTCTGCGATTTATACTTTTGCTTCTATATTAGATCCAAGACAAAAGTATGATGGCACATTTTTATTAATTGTATTTATTTTCAATGCATGAATTTTGAAGATGATGTTGAATCTTATAAAACTAATGTGACCAATCAATTTTTTTCCTTATATAAAGTTTATGAATCTAAATATGGAACCGTGACTCGATTTGCTCCTTCTCAATCATCCAAAAATATAAGTAAAAGGGCCAAAGGTTTATTTGCACAAGCTGCTAACATGATGTCTAAGTTTTCAGGTAGTGAATCATCATCTAGGAGAACACAAGGCGATATTTCGGAGCTGCAAATGTACTTAAGTTACGACTTCATAAAAGGCATGGATGACGAAGAGAAGTACGGCCTTGACATCCTTGAATGGTGGAGATCACAAAGCTCGAAGCATCCAATTTTGGCGGGAATGGCACGAGATGTTTATGCTATCCAAATCTCCTCCGTTGCCTCCGAACGAGCTTTTAGTGCATCAGGGAGGGTTTTAGACGATAGAAGAACAAGACTAAAACCCGAAACACTTGAAATGTGTGTTTTTTCAATGATTGGTTGGATGCCAAAACTCGCCGTCAAGATCATACTTATGTAGAAAACGATGACGATGAAGGAACGTCGGGTTCTACTAGTTCTCAATCAATTCAATTGGCCGATGAACTTGGACAAGAAGAAGAAGAAGAAGACAAAGACGAAGAAGAACAAGAAGAATAATTAGATTATTACATACTATTAATTATAGCTAATTTTTGTATTATTGAACCCTGTATAATAAAATAAGCTATAAAGTTAAGTTATTCATCAATTATTGTACGATTTTTATCATTATAAATTATTGTATTATCGATTTATCGTACCGGCGTATAATAAAATTAAATAAGTTATTCATCAATTTTTGTGTTATTGCACTCGTAAATTTTTTAATTATATGCATTGTTGCTTTTTGCTAAATAATAATAAATACATATAATAATAAAAAATTAAAATTAATTATAATAAATTAAAAATAAAAATAACATAAATAATAAAGAGTAAAAGAACTATAATAATAAAAACAACAATAATAATATAATAATACAAAAACATAAATTAATAAAATTATTTAAATATACTTATTTAAAATTTGTTCAAAAAAATATATATCAATTTTTTTTAAAAAAAAAAAAAAAATTAAATAAATAATTCGGGGCGGCCC